GAGACGTGGTGGTAGAGCGGGTGAGGCGCATCTGGGGAGTGGCCATACGTCCTTGGGTTAGTCATGTGACCACCCTGAGCCTCAGTTTTCTGTTCTGTTAAGTGGGGGTGATGAGACCTACCTCTCAGAGTTGGTATGAAAATGGTGTAGAAAATGAAGATGACATAAAGATGTGCCCAGTACTCTACTGGCACTCAGCAATGCTAATGTCCTTTCCCAGGAAGGGGACAATGCTGCAGGGTCCTGCCTGCTCAGGAGACTCTACCTGGTGACTTATCATGAAGATTTGCTCAGCCTTCTTCATTCAACTAGTCCAGCTACTAGCATGATCTTTCTCCAGTATCTTCCTGAGCCCTCCATTTCTTCTGTTTTCACAAATCAAGACTGTATCATTGAAGTGCAGAGTGAATAAAAAAGCAAAAGAGTTAGACTCCTAAAGGTTACCAGAGCTGTGATTTATTGAGTGCTTACCTTGGGCCTCGTATTTTAAATGTATTATTTCTAACTCTTCCAACAGCCCTAGAAGCAGTATATTTCGATCCTCATTTTACAAGGCACAGAGAGTTTAAGTGACCTGCTCACAGTCACATACTGCTAGGAAGAGTCCGAGCAGGGATTGGAACCCAGGACTGCCTGGCTTCTTACTCTATCACACTCCATCATGGAACCCAACTTGCAAATTCCCAAAGTCAAGACTCCTGCTCTATGTGGGCTTAGAACAATCATAGGCTCTAGATGAAAGTTGGAAGAGGCCCCAAAGAGTATTGAGTTTAACTGCCACCTGACAAGGAACCCTCACTTCAACATCCCTTCTTCTTTGATGGGGAACGCAGCACCTCATGTGACAGCCCATTCCACTTTTAGACAGTTCTAATTACTAGGAAGACTCATAATGTGCTCTTTTACCAGTCAGATTCACCTGCTATTTTCATTACAACTTCATACACCCTGATCAGGCCATCATTAAGACGCCTTCATCTGAAATCCTGAACTCCGTTACTCCTGGACTTGCAATAAGGCCCCAACACCATTGCCGAATAAAGTTTCTCCAGAACATCAGCAATGCAGACCAAGTCATGAAAGGGAAGCTGATTGCTGCTTCAAATGAGTCTGGGCTAGGTGATTATCTCTTCCTGAGAAAAACTTATTCTGGCTGGGATGTATTGTCACTTGGGACAGAGGTATAGCATATATTGCAGAAGTTTAAAATAATCAGAGTCGCGTGTATGCAGCACAATTCCTCGGTTAATTAAAACGCCGCGAAAAGCAACGAAAGCTGATTTTTGTGCTTCTCTTTCTTCCTGGTTTTCAGCTTCTCTGGCAGTTTTCTGTTGAGTTGAAGGACAGTCAGGCCTAAATGATCAAAAATGAGCTAATGTCACTCGCTTCCTGCACCACGAGCTTACTGGAAGATCCAACAACTAATCATGGAGATGAAAGACGGGTAAGAATTTAAAAGGATGTATCCAAGGTCTTCTGAGTGTGTGAGCCCTGCTCATCTGATTCTCCACAGGGGAAACCAAGTATGTTTACGTGATTGTGCCAACTGCAGGAAACTAAGAGACGCCAGGGTCAGAAGACTAACGTGGCTCCTCTGGGATTTCAGGTGGCAAGTAGGCTTGAGAATCTTAACTTTAATGAAGACAACAAAAATCACATAATTAACACACACGGTTAACACCTCATTAGTCTCCCAGGGCTTAAGTTATGCTAAAAATAATCAACGCGTTTTGTTTAAATAAGGTGCTGTTATAGGTGGTGATGAAGGCTGCTTTGGCCAGAGCAGAATGAGGCCACTTCTCTGCGTTTCCTTCAGTGCTTTAAAGCAGGCCTTCTCTTCATTCTGAGGAAATGGTTATTAAAAATGTTATGTGGAACTATGGAGAGGAAATGAGTGTATTATTGAGAGTCTCTCTGACTCTAAGCCTGACTCTAAAATCTTACACAACCCTATTTCACAACCCAGGCCCTCTGGGTCAGGATTGTCTCCTAAATAAATCCTAAATAAATAAAACAGGGGTTCTGGCTACAAGTCAAGCTGTGAAATAGGCCAGCTTTCTTCAATGCCTTCTCTTTTCTTCCTTGTGACATTCTAAGCTCGTATGTTTATATATTCCCTTCCACCTAATCTGGGTTTATGACTGCTTTGACCAATGGGATTTGGAAGAAATGATTTTTTAGGATTTCTGAGCCCAGGCATTAAGAAGCCTGGAACCTTTTGCCATGCCTTGACCCAGCAAGGAAGATGGCCTGTCTCCCCTGCTGTAGAATGAGGCCACGTGGAGAGACCTTGGAGGATGAGTCGCCAGGAGGAGAGCAGCCACATGGAGGAGCACCTGAGGTCAGATGTCCAGCTCAGTGGCAGCCCCAGCTGCCCACTACTGCAACTGAAGGAAAGAACCCAAGAGAGACCAGAAGAGGAACTGCCGGCCAATCCTCAGCCACCCACTATCATATCAACCCTTGAGATACGATGAAATGGCTGTTGTTTTCAGCCACTAAGTTTGGGGTGGATATTGCAAGGCAATAAATAAACAAAACACCTCCTCTCTACCCTTCCCTTGTTATGGTGCCCCTGTTTACCACTTTTGACCATTTCTTTGTGCATTTCCAAGATATCTCCTAACACTTTTGGGAAAATCATCTACATGTGTTCAAGAAGGTCTCCCTTTTATTTCTTAACAAAATAATCATATTCACTGGGATTTTTGGAGATGAGACTGCAGACTTCCTTGTCTAAGTGAAGAGAAAAATACTAAGTTGTTTCTTAACTTTTCTTGCTCTTGTGTAAAGACAGGAATACCACTTACCCCATGGGGTTAAACAGCAAAGCCTCGTGCTTAGAGGCTGGTGGTGCTGGTTGGGGAGAGGGATGAGAGTCGTTGCTAATTGGGCTGCACCGGACATCTCCCTAAGTTTTAGGGAGTCGGGGATAGCTCTCTAAGAGGATTTTTTTCAAGCAATACTCAACTTGAAAGCTTTTCTGTTCCTGTCAAAAGTCAGGGCAGTCAGCAAAACTGCTTCCACTGTTGCAGTGAAGATTGGAGCTTGCTCAGAACAGTCAGAAAATAGCCACACAGCTCTGATGAAGAGAAAGCAAAACAAAGCATTTTGAGAGCAAATTGAAGGAACATTTACACAGACCTGTGCCTTAGTGCTAGCAAAGCCAAAGTTTTAGAAGTATTGTTGACAAGACTCTGTACTTTGATCAAATTTAGGAAACTTAGACTGAATGAATAAATGGATGGATGATGGATGGATGGATGGATGCATGCATGCATGCATCGCTGGATGTCTATGATGGGCAGAGTACAATTTTCCCGCCAGCTTTGCTAAAGGGAAACAACCATACCTCATCGTGGGACCCAAAGAAGGTCTGTGAATGGTGCAGAACCAGGAATGATGAGGGATGAAGAAGATCCAAGAGAAATATTTCCCTTAGCTGGGCCTGGCTAAGGTTTACATCACTCCCTTCAGATAAGGAATATGTGATGTTATTGTTGTTGTTTCTAGTTTGGGGCCTCTTTATTCATGCTTAGGTTAACTGTAAGCAGTTAATTCCATAGAATAAGCGTGGTTCTTCTCATCTAATCTTCTTGCTGTCTTTCTAAAATCCTAAATTAAAGAATCTCCTTAGTTTCTTAAAGAACTAAAGATAAATATCTGAACTAATGTGGCAGATATTGCTAGATGCCTACCTAATAAACATTCTCTCTTCTTTCTTAATAAGGAAAATTCAATTTTGTTAGAGTAGCAAAGTGTTCAGCTAAGAACACTTGCTCTGCCAGATTCCCATGAACCGAGGAATGCCCTGTGATATATTTCTGGCCATGAGACATAAATTGAAGTTGTCTGGGAAACAGGATGCTACTACTTCCCATCTTTCTTCTTCCTGCCTGATATGAGATGCCACATCTGGAGGTGGAAAAGCCAACTTGCAGTCACGAGGCAACAGCATGAGATCAGAAGTGTGCACACTGATGATGATGGAAAGGAAGGATGAGAAAGCCCTGCTTTATGTATGTATCCAAGGTCTTCTGAGTGTGTGAGCCCTGCTCATCTGATTCTCCACAGGGGAAACCAAGTTATGCCAGCCCTGCTGGCATAACGAGACACCCTACCAGCCATGAACTTTTTGTTCCATGTGACAAACATCTAAGTGTTTAAGCAAGTTTTTTTTCATATTTGCAGCCAAAAGCATTCCTGGCAGTGACTCTTGGGTTGATCCAATTGAAATTGCAATCTGGGTTCTAGAGCTCAGAGTTGGTAAATGAAAAAGCATTCTTTATTGAACGTTGCCTGAATAAAGGCCAGCTCCTCACAAGGTATGGCGCATCGTATTAGTTTGGGCTACAAATAAAAGAAACCCCTGGCTTGCACTCACTTATATAACAAACTGCAGAGCGAGAAGTCCAGAGGTAAAAAAAGATGCAGGTGCAGAACCATGACAGCCTCAGGGATCCAGATTATTCCATCTCTCTGCTTGGCCATCCTTGGGGAACCTCATGTGCTAAATGGACTAGATTAATCGAGAACTTTCCTTGACATCCCCCTGAATCCTTTTGGGTAGAGATGGATACCTGAACACACTGTATACCAGTTTGAAAGAAAAGCAGGGATCGATAACCATAGAAAACCAAGTATCTGGGGCAAACATGTTGTATAAGCACTTTTTAAAATGTGGAAAGCCCCAAAGTACAAAATGATGACGATTCTACCAGCCTAGTGCCAACATTGGCTTGAACACTCTCTGGCTGCCACTTGAAAAAGGAGGGCTTGTTTTCTTGTCCGTTCAGCTCAGATTTGTGGCTTCCAGCTAAACGGTCTAATTTATTCATCTTATTTGACTAATATCATAACAGGAAGCAATGAAAGTGTCCCAAGGGCCCAAATAGCCCACTTGTAAAAATGGAATATTTGAAAAAACAAACAATTCCTCCCTTCAACTTCCTCCCAACTCTAAGCCACTTTCACTATACAAAAGGGTGGTACTGAAGTAAACCCAGACTCTGTTTAAAAGGAAAGAAAGAGATTCCAAAGTCTGTTTAATAACAAGACAAAGTCATGGACACTAGTCAGAAATATGGTAGTTCCCCCTTATCCTCAGGGGATACATCCCAAGACCCCCAGTGGATGCCTGAATCCGTGGATAGTACTAAATCGTATATGTACCATATTTTTTCTATACATATATATCTATGATGAAGTTTAATGGATAAATTAGGCACAGTAAGAGGTTAACAAGAATAACTAATAAAACAGAACAGTTATAACAATATACTGTAATAAAAGTTACTGTAAATCTTAGCAACCTCAACATACAATTTTTTTTCTTTCCTTATTAAGTTAAGAGCTTTCACTTTTTCGCTTAAAGGAAGCACTTGGCAGCTTCTCTTGGGCATATCCGAATCGCCAGCATAACTGCTGTTGAGCTTTGGGGCCACGATTAAGTAAAATAAGGGTGACTTGAACGCAAGCACTGTGATGCGTATACAGCGTGGATACGCTGGACAGAGGGATAATTCACATCCCAGACGGGATGGAGCCAGACAGCTTGAGATTTCATCTCACTACTCAGAATGGTGACACAACTGAAAACTTATGAACTATTTATTTCTACAATTTCCATTTAATATTTTTGGACCATGGTTGACCGGGGTAAGCTCTTGGAAAGCGAAACCACGCATAGGAGGGACTACTGGATTCTTTTTTCAGCATGAATCTAATGTTCTTAGGAAGTTTAACAACCAGTGCCTCACTGGGAATAGATGTGAAAACTGAGCGACAGGATCACGTGATGTGTAGGCAGCTTCACAGGAGTGAATTTCTCCCCAGAACACTAATCTGCTTGTGCAGAATCCACCGTGGTATCCAGTGTGGCAGACACAGGGGAGAACAATTTGTAGTGCCAGGAACCACCTGCCAGACACGCAGAACTGGGACAAAACAAAGTGTCACCTGTGTTTTCCTTTGGGGAACTCGGTCTTTCCTTCTCTCCCCACATGGTTCTGGCAGTGCTGACCCCATTCCTGGCTATAGGGGTGGGCGCAGGACACGGTATTGTATTCCAACCTCATCAATGCAGTAGTTGTTCAGATGTGGGAACATGACCCAAACAGGTCCGGTAAGACTCAGCCTGGGATTTCCATTGGAATTATTAGGGGTTGTAGAGCTTCTGGGATATAAGATCCTGGATTTTTCAGTTATATGAACCGATGAAATCTCCTTTTTGCTATAGTTGGCATGACTTGCATTTCTGTCACTTGCAACTTATGGAGATATAGCTAACACAGACACAAAAGGTACCAGTATCTTGAGTTCAAAAGAGGAGAAACAGTCACCAGTGATGATATAGAGAAATTCATTTTATATTCACAACAGTCTCCCTATCCCTACCCTGATACATTTGTGTGTTCTCTAGCTCAATTTATAAAATGAGTTATCTTCAAAAACAAGCAATAAAATTACAAAATGTGGTGGTTACTGTATGCCAAGCGCTTTACTAGTTACTTTTACATACATATCTCATTTAATCTTTACACAGTTACTGTCCCTGTTTATACACGCCAGGACCCTGACCCTCAGAGTGGATAAATGCTGGAGGGAACACCAGTTTAGTTAGCCTGAGGTCAGGAGCAGCACTCTCAGCACACTTGAGGTCTCCATCAGCTGTCCCGCAGGGTCTCAAGGATGGTTTAGTACTTCAACAAGACAACCATCCCAGCAATGAATAAGAAAGCTTTCTCTGTTTACACTGGAATGCTTGCTCATTAGAAGTCTGATCTCAAATTCCACAAGACTGGATTTTAAGGACCAACAGCAGATAACACAAAATTCCATTCAGGTGACCTTGCCTGGAAAGAATTTGAACTTGAGGTTATCCTCACACGAATGAGGTCAGGCCAGCAGCCACCAACCTTGTTATTCTGCTAATGTTTACAATTGTCTCTGCTTTTCAAATGTATCGAAGTACAATTAACAAGCAATAAAATGCAGGATCTTTGACAAATATAAACCCTGAGGTAAGCATCCCATATTCAATATATAGAACATTTTGATCACCTCAGAAAGATTTCTCATGTCCCTTTGCAGCTAATTTTAATACTTCCTCACACCCAATGCCCCCTCACCTCCATCTTAGGAAGCCATGGTTCTGATTTCTACTAATAGATTAGTTCACCTCTTCTAGAAATTTATGTGAACAGAATCATACAGTATGTACTATTTTGTGTCTGGCTTCTTTCACTCAGGGTAACATTACTGAGATCCATCCATGTCGTTGTATATACCAGTAGTTTATTTCTTCTTATTTCTGAATAGTGTTCAATTGTGGGAATGGAACACAAACAATCTATTCACCTGCTGATGGACATTTGTGATGTTTCCAGTGGACCTATTATGAATAAAGTTGTCTTATGTACATTCTTGTATAAGTCTTTGTGTGGAGATACATTTTCATTTCTCTTGAGTGAGAGAGATACCTAGGTATACCTAGGTATAAAATTATTGGATCACATGTTAAGTATATATTTAACCCTATAAGAAACTTCTAAACAGTTTTACAAGTGGTTGTACCATTTTACACTCTCACCCATAATGTATGAGAGTTCTAGTTACTCCACATCCTCCCCAACATTTACATTGTCAGTGGTTTTATTTTTAGCCAAGCATATTGATGTAGAATGATATTCAGTTGTGGTCTTCTTTAGCATTTTCCTGATGACCAATGAAGATGCTAATTGGTTATTTGTATATCTTCTTTTGTGAAGCATTGGCTAAATTATTTTATTTATTTATTTATTTTTTTAGGAAGATTGGCCCTGGGCTAACATCTGTTGCCAATCTGCCTCTTTTTATTTTTTCTCCCCAAAGCCCCAGTACATAGTTGTATATCCTAGTTGTAGGTCCTTCTAGTTCTTCTATGTGGGACGGCCCCTCAGCATGGCTTGATGAGTGGTGAGTAGGTCCACACTCAGGATCCGAACCAGCAAACCCTGGGCCACTGAAGCGGAATGCACGAACTTAACCACTACGTCACCAGGCTAGCCCTATTTGATCTATTTTTAAAATTGGGTTGTCTTTCTTTTTCTTATTGCATGTAAGAGTTCTTTATATATTTGGGACACAAGTCCTTTGACAGATATGTGTATTAGGAATATTTTCTCCCAGTCTGTGGTTTGTCTTTTCAGTTTCATAAAGGTGTCATTTGAAAAGCAAACACTTTTAATGGTGATGAAATCAAATTTGTCCATTTTTTCTTTTATGGTTTATGCTTTCTGCCTTCAATTAAGAAATTTTTACCTACTTGAAGGTCACAAAGATTTGTATCCTATACTTGATTACCAAGGTTTTATAATATGTCTTGAAGTCAAGCAGTATGTCATTTAACTTTTTTTTTCAAATTTATTTTAGCAATTCTTGATCCTTTGCTTTTCCACATATTTTGCAGAATGACTTCTTCAGTTTCTACAAAAAAATATGCTGGGATTGTCACTAGAATTGCGTTGAATTTGAGATAACTGGCATCTTAATACTGAATCTTATAATCAATGAATATGGAATACCTCTCTATTTATTTAGATCTACTTTAATATCTGTCAGAAATATTTTGTATTTTTATACATTTTGTACATTTTAAGTGTAGAGGTCTTAAAATCTTATCCTAAATTTATTACTAAATATTTTGTTCTTTTTGGTGCTATTATAGATGGTATTTATTTCATTTTAAATTGTTTGTTGCTAGTATACAAAAATTCAATTGATTTTTATTTACTGACTTTGTATTATGTGACCTTGTTAAATTTTCTTATCATTTATAATAGTTTTTCAATATCCTTAGAATTTTTTATTTAGACAATTACGATGTTTGTATGATGTTTACTTTCTTCACCCTCAATATCCATGCTTTTTATTATTATTTTTCTCATCTTAATCCAATGGCTAGGACTTCTAGTACAATATTGAATGGAGGTGGAGAGAAAAGATATCCTTGCCTTGTGCCCAGTCTTAACTGGAAAGCAGTTAATATTTCTCCATTAAGCATACTGTTACCTGTAGGTTTTTCACAGCTGCCTTTAATGAAATTGAGGAAGTTTCTCTCTATTCCTAGTTTGCTGATAGTTTTTTTTTTAACATGAATGGGGGTTGGCGTTTGTCAAATACTTTTTATTCATCTATGGAGATAATCATGTGATTTTTCTCCTTTATCTGTTAATGTGGTGAATTGCATAAATAAATTTTCAAATGTTAAACCAACCTTGCATTTCTGCGATACACTCTACTTGGTCATAATTTCCATATTATATATTTTCTGGATTCATTTTGCTAATGTTTTGTTGAGAAATTTTTCTCTATTTCCATGAGGAATATTGGTCTGTCAGGATTTTGGGTTTCAGGGTTATATTAGCCTCATAAAATGATTTGAGAAAAATTTTCTCCTTCTCTATTTTCTGAAAGAGTTTGTGTAAGTTTGGTATTACTTCTTTCTTAAATATTTGATAACTGTTTAGTAGAATTCACCAGGGAACCCACCTGGGCCTACGCTTTTCTTTGTGGAAAGGATTTTTTTAATTACAAAATTGATTTCAAATATACATATAAGGCCATTTAAACTAACTATTTTTCTTGTGTCAATTGTGATGTTATTTTTTTTCAAGAATTTTTCCATTTCATCTCAGTTATTGAATATATAAATACAAATTTGTTCAAAATATTTATTTATCTTTTAATAGCTATATGTTATGAAGTGATATGCCATCTTTCATTTCTCATATTGGTAATTTGGAGTTCTCTCTATTTTTTTTTTATTAGACTTGCTAGAGCTTTATCAACTTTATTAATCTTTCCAAAGAATCCACTTTGGCTTTTTATACTTTCTGTAATGTTTATCTGTTCTCAATTTCACTGATTTATGTTCGTTATTATTTCTTTTCTTCCACTTACAAAGGGTTTAATTTTCTGTTATTTTTCTAGCTTCTTAACATTTAGACCTTTCTATTTTTTTAATATAGG